CCGGAGTTGGGTCAAATTCATATTGGTCGCTTCGATGACACTGTCCAACCATCTTGTCCTCTGTCGACTCCTTCTCCTCTTGCCCACACTTTCTCAACATCGGAGTCTTTTCCAGGGAACCTTCTCTTCTCATGAGATGGCCAAATTATTGGAGCCTCAGCTTCAGGGACGTGGTGGCGCTGTGGGCTAAACCGCAGAAGCCTGTGCTGCAGGGTCAGAAGACCAGCAGTTGTAAGTTCGAATCCACGCGACGGAGTGAGCGCCCGTCGCCTGTCCCAGCTCCCGCCAACCTAGCGGTTCGAAAGCATGCAAATGCGAGTAGATAAATAGGGACCACCTCGGTGGGAAGGTAAACAGCGTTCCGTGTCTAAATCACACTGGCCATGTGACCACGGAAAGATTGTCTTCGGACAAACGCTGGCTCTATGGCTTGAAGAGCGGGATGAGCGCCGCCCCCTAGAGTCGGACACGACTGGACAAAAATTGTCAAGGGGAACCTTTACCTTTACCTTTACCAGCTTCAGTATCTGTCCTTCCAGTGAGCACTCAGGGTTGATTTCCTTTAGAATGGATAGGTTTGTTCTCCTCGCAGTCCAGGGGATTCTCAAGAGTCTCTTCCAGCACCACAATTCAAAAGCATCAATTCTTTGGCGGTCAGCCTTCTTTATGGTCCAGCTCTCACTTCCATACATCACTACTGGAAAAACCATAACTTTGACTATGCGGACCTTTGTCGGCAACGTGATGTTTCTGCTTTTTAAGATGCTGTTGAGGTTTGTCATCGTGTTCCTCCCAAGAAGCAGGCGTCTTTTAATTTCATGGCTGCTGTCACAATCTACAGTGATCATGGAACCCAAGAAGTAAAATCTGTTACTGCCTCCATATCTTCCCCTTCTATTTGCCAGGAGATGATGGGGCCAGTGGCCATGATCTTAGTTTTTTGATGTTGAGTTTCAGACCATTTTTGGCGCTGTCCTCTTTCACCCTCATTAAGAGGTTCTTTAATTCCTCCTCACTTTCTGCCATCAGAGTGGTATTGTCTGCATATCTGAGGTTGTTGATATTTTTCTAGCAATCTTAATTCTGGTTTGGAATTCATTCAGTCCAGTTTTTTGCATGATGTATGATTTTGCATATCAGTTAAATACACAGGGAGACAATCTACAGCCTTGTCGTACTCCTTTCCCAATTTTGAACCAATCAGTTGTTCCATATCCAGTTCTAACTGTTACTTCCTGTCCCACATATAGATTTCTCAGGAGACAGATAAGGTGGTCAGGCACTCCCATTTCTTTAAGAACTTGCCATAGTTTGCTGTGGTCCACACAGTCAAAGGCTTTTGCGTAGTCAATGAAGCAGAGGTAGATATTTTTCTGGAACTCTGTGGCTTTCTTCATAATCCAGAGCATGTTAGCAATTTGGTCTCTAGTTCCTCTGCCCCTTTGAAATCCAGCTTGTACTTCTGGGAGTTCTCGGTCCACATACTGCTGAAGGCTACCTTGGAGGATTTTGAGCATAACCTTGCTAGCGTGGGAAATGAGTGCAATTGTATGGTATTTGGAGCATTCTTTGTCACTTTCCTTCTTTGGGATTGGGATGTAGACTGATCTTTTCCAATCCTCTGGCCACTGCTGAGTTTTCCAAACTTGCTGGCATATTGAGTGTAGCACTTTAACAGCATCATCTTTTAAGATTTTAAATAGTTCAACTGGAATGTCATCACCTCCACTGGCCCTGTTGTTATTATACATATTATACATAACCTTTAATACATTTCAGCTCCTTTTTAAACCTTTAGTACAGCCATAGTAGTTTTATCAGCAATCTCCATTTTCTTCTTTCTTGTGGAAATTGTTTGTCTATGTGTTTTTATTAACTCCTTCTTCAGAAGTTTCCCATTTGAAGTGAATGTTGGCATTGCTGGTGTGTTACATATAATATAACAACAACAACAATCAGTGCAATGATGATTTAGTACACATAGTGTGGTGTCCTCTTCAGTTGCCTTCAGTTCTTTGCTATCCGTTTTTCACAGCTGGCAAAAAAACACACAGACCTATAAGAACAGCATATGAAGTGCTTGCAAACAGACACATTGTCATCTGATTTGGAGGTAAAACCATGCAGGAAAGTAAAGTTAAAGAACAGGAATTGCATGGGGGGGGGGGATCAAGGTGTGATGTCCTTCAGAGATACAGATTAAGCATTTTGTTATAACATACAGATATTCTAGTTTGACTCTGTTTCCCCCCCGATTTAACTTTTCATCACAATATATGTGTTAATCAGCTTATGGATGCTAGCTTCAGAGATACAGATTAAGCATTTTGTTATAACATACAGATATTCTAGTTTGACTCTGTTTTCCCCCCGATTTACTGTAACTTTTCATCACAATATATGTGTTAATCAGCTTATGGATGCTAGGATGTCTGTGCTACAACCCAACTACTGTTTGCATGGTTACATCTGTGGCCTTAAGGGCATGGTCTGCCTCTCCCTCACCAACACTCCAGTCCACAGGTGAACTGTGAGTCAGGAATCCCGCCCTTACTCTTGGAGAGGTGGAGAGCCCTCTCTTCTGGGCAGGTGGACCTCACTGGCCCCACAGGTAGTGAAAGGCAGACTGGATCTCATTTCAGAACTGAAATCAATTTGGGGGGGGGGTATTTTGAAGGAAAGCAGGTTGCCAAATATAGTTAAAATACTAGTAACAATAACATTTTTACTCATTGTATTATTGTTGAGATTTCCTGCCTCAAGGATCACTTCAGGGATCTTGGGGCACCTTAAAGCTATTTGATTTCACACATGACAGGGTATGAGGACTCTTTGCCAAATGTATGAACAGCCTCCAATGACAAGCAACGTGTGTGAACTGAGCTTGGATAGGTAAGGAAATTACACTTATGGTAGCTCATTTATACATAGTGCTTTGTGGGTTTTTTTGCACTTGATGCTACAAATAGGAAGTAAGTCATGTTAATGTGGGACCCAGTCTTTATAACACGCCAGTATCTGTTTTGCTTAATAGAACTGTTCAATTGTAAGCAATGCAGTTTAGAGAGTAACAGGGGACTGGTTTTAGGAAATTTGGTATAGACAGTAAAAGAATATGGACTGTCTTGTACGCTTAGTCAGAGTCTTGCATATTTTAGCAAATAGCCACAAGTATAGTAAATAAATACTGTGTTATTTTAGAATAGTTCCCTTGAGTTGATACTGTAAATTTAGTTCATGTTGATTTTGCTGAAGTGAATTTTGGGAGAAGAGTGTGATTACACAACATGCTGGAACAAACTTCTCTAATTCTTCCTAGGGAGTGGCAGGGCACTAGCTGACTTGAAAACTGAAGTGTGAGCAAAGGTATTCCATACAATAGCAGATCTTTACCACTGATAGAAGGCATCATACCCCAATTTGCTGTTACACAGTTCTGTGCTCAAAACTTTGTGGTTAAAATCCTGCTTTGCTGCTACACAAAATGCATAATTTTTGTAGACAAATTGCCTCAAGTTAAGAAATCTCTACAGACATCTGTTCCATGCTGGGTTGTAATAATCATAGAGAATTCATATTCTCTATGAATATTACAACAGGATTTCAGCCAGTGTTCATATGTTTTGCAGCTCTCCGTTTTCTGAGGGACAGACCATTCATAATATGCTAAGCTACAGTCTCTATCATTTAAAAAAATAAATAAATTCAAAGGGTTAGAAAAGGCAATCTGATTTAGAGTTACAATGCTGTGGGACAGGCTCTCCCCATGCACCATTTCCACAATGAACCTTCATCCTAATGCTTAGCCAGGGAGAGGATAGTACTGTTACATAGATTATATTATGTTTAAACCAATTAGAACATGTAGGACCTAACCCCAAACAATTTTTTTTCTAGTGTGCTACAGGTGTTTCAAGATATAATTTGTGTTTCACTAGAACTCAAAATTCCACCAGATGGAATCAGGCAAGAAATGGTGGGTCAAGTTGGGATACAGCTTGGAAAAGTTACATTTTTATACTACCGGAATCTCCTAACCTCCCAAATTCTGGGCCTTGCAGTTGAAAATGTAGTCCTTTTTCTTATCCATGGCTAGGGTTTTAGAATATTGATTGAAACAATCTGAGCATATGTTCATTCTGGGAATTGGTTTTCAGTAACTAAAGGGAGTGCACACACAAATCTTTTCTCTTACACCTTTGTTCCTGAGGTAACATTACAGGAATAATCCTTGAGAAGGTTTTTGTTTTTTCCTAAAGTCTTCAGAATTCCCCAACCACCATGGCTAGAATATGCTGATGGGGGAATCTGGGGAGTTGTAACCCCATTCCAAACAATTATTTGTACTGGACATGCAGGATCCATGCTTCCTTTCCTTTCCTGGTATGACAACGAGGAAACAAGAAGCTTCTAAGACTTTGTTAGATGAACCATAGTTTAGTGGGTTTTGAAGTGTAAACTCTTAACCAAAAACATTCATTTTGTAAATTATAGCTTGAACTTGCTCCTTTCCCCCAGTGTTTAGAAGTAATGAGTAGTAAGTAATGCAGTTACCTCTACCTAGCTCCTTTTTGGAAGAATGTAGTTTACAGAGTTACACATTATTTCCAGGCTAAGTACTACAAATGAAAATTGAATAGTATGATTTGATTCACCGATGGTCCTCCCTTGTGTTATTTGAGGTCATAGTCCTGTGCCGGTAAAATAAACAGCGACAGCTCTTTTTATGTTTATAGTTTTGGAATTACACATGCATTTGCCTTCCCCATCTTCTTGTCAGATATTCTTTTAAAATGTACTCGGGAAAGCAATCGTCATAAAATGGCTGCTTCCTGCTGGAGCATGTCACGGCCTTCTGGAATCTTATACTTGGCATACATTGCCTTTTTCTATCATGCATAAATTGCCAAGAGGGATGATTAATACAAGAGAGCGCAACCACAATAAGGGAGTGTCTCTGACGTTCAGGTGAGCTAGCACATTCTTCCTGGTCTACCTTTTTTACCAAGAGCACCTCTTCTTTCAGCTGTGCTTATTTCATCTTTTTCTCATATCAGTAAGTGGAATAACTGCATAGGGAGGTAAGTAACTGAAAATGTTGTTTTAAAATTGCCTTTTTTAAACAAGCACCTCAAAAAAGATTCTACTGGTGGACTTGAGGAAGAAATGGCAGTAAGAGCTTTGGGGAAGAAACTGCACTAATCGAGAATGTGACAAGACTTTTCCATTTGATGTAAACTTTTTTAGTAAATAGTTTTTATTACAGCAGCTTCTTTGCCAATTTGCAAAAAACAGCTAGCTCTGGGCCAGTATATGGTGTAATCACATTTATTAAAGACTCAGAACTTTATAGCCGATTTTTCAGATGACAGGGGAAATACTGAACACATTATTTGTAAAACAAGGTATTCTATTGTAATACAACTTTATTCTGCTAACTGCACTGCTGGCTGAATGCGCTTTTTGTGCATGCTGTATATAAAGCACACCAGCCTGTCCAGAGCTGGTGTTTTTCCGATGTGTTAGATCATAGCGGCTATCTTATTCATGTACCAGAGCTGCTAAATAGAAGTACTGGGAGTTTTAGTGCAGATTTGAACTGTCGGGAACCAGTTTTCAGGAAGCCGGTCTGTAAAATGAGATTACTGAAACAGACTCTGTGCTTGGTGAAATTATCTCTTGGGTGTATCTCGTCAATTCAGCTTTGCTAATACTGTTACTTAACTGGCTCATCCTTGCTCCTTAGAACTTCACTTTCTGCATCGCTTGCGTTACTCTTCATAGTGTTTTTCTCTAGAGAAAGTATTAGAAGGAAAGAGACCCAGTGTGGTGGTCTCATGTTCCTGCCCAATCATACTACAGTAATTGGGTATTTTGTGTAGCTCAAAGCTTAGGCAGGCAGCGAACGAAAAAAACTACAATTGCAAGAATGCCATAGCTAGCTTGTTGACTGCTCACACTGGCTATAGGATTCTGAATGATATAATCCAAAGAAGAAGCTTCCCCCATCTTTAAAGACAGGAGTGGTATCCAGGCAATGCTTCAGTAAGCAATTGTTACTTGCTTAGAATTGCCTCCTTTTTTCTTTTCTTTTTTAAAGTGATTCCACCAAGGAGAGAGAAAGCCAGTTGGAGCCCAAGGCCTATTGGAAGGTGGGAGCCTCTGTTATTCTGAATTAGACTGTTGGCACATCTATCAGAATGGTCAACTCTGACCAGCAACAGCTCTCTCCACAGTTTCAGGCAGTGGTCTTTTCTAGTCCTGCCTGAAGATAACTAGTCATCTCTCATATTCCAGGTTGGTCACCCATCCAAGTACTACCTGGGTCTGACTCTGCTTAACTTCCAAAGTCAGAAGAGAGAAGGGTGTTCAGGGAGCATGTGTGTGGATGCTCATATGTTTATATCACAGGATGTTTTGATGTAGTTGTCTTGTTAATCAGAGGCACTTTTAAATGCTTTCCATGGATAAACCTCCCCCAAATAAATGCAAACCCAGATTCCTGGTCTGCACAGCTAAAAGTGACATCAACAAACACCCCATCACACCCTACTTGATGATTTGGTATCTTTATATATCACAAGCCTATGTGCCAACAAAAGAATCAGCACAAAATCCTCAGAAAGGATCTGTTAGATTCGTCCACCTATTAAATGATGGCAAGAGACTGAGTCAGTGGCAAGAACTCCTGCATGTCTCTCTCATCTCCACGAAAGTGGCCACCCCCAAGCTGAGCGTGTTCTCACATGCTAGTCTATAAGTCATCATTAATAATATTTGGTTTTCTGAATGTAAAACATTGTCCAGATTGCTTTATTGACAAGAAGAGCCAGAGATCATGCAGAGGAATTATGCCTGGTAAAGACCGGTAGCAAAATGGAGGATGGCACATGAATCAACATCCAGGGCAGGGTTGAATGAACACCCAGCAGCAACTTTGCTAAAACTAAGCAGGTTTGGATCTAGGCAGAACTTGGATGGGAGCATACATTTGAATCTTAAGTATATTAGCTTACTTCCATGCAGAATGACAAGCAAAATACAGTTGTTGTTGAAAGTTGTTGTTTTTTAATTACACAGTGTGTAACTTATGGCAAACGTAACTTAGCAGACTCTAAGTCTATGAAGCACTCCAGAACCATCCTGATTTTGCTGTATTTATCCTGGAGCTAGCATTGCATAAACAGGCACATTGTCACAGAGCCAGTGTGATATTGGATAGGAACGTCAAAGATCCAGATAGCAGTGTTTCACTAGATCTGGCAGAACCGGAGATGCAAAATGCAAACATGAGACTGTTGCATCAAAAAGAAACAAGTTTGTTCTTTTTCTTTCTTTTTTTAAAACAGCCAACTAGCTTCTGGTTTCTGGTCTTTCCAAAACAGGGCACTGTATTTTTCAGAGTAGGAAAAAAAGGCAACTTCCAAAAGCGAGTGTTGGTCCTATCATTTGGCAGAGGGAGTACAGTAGCTCTTTCAGGCAGCAGAACGTGGGTGTCATGAAAAGACAATGCATTGTTAGTTGTATAGTTTGTTTTCCCTCCAGTTTTACTTTCAGAGAGTGGGGGAGGTGCTTGTAGGATTTTCAGAATGAATAATGTGCCTGAACAACTTGACTGGCCTTGGGTACTGTGAACCCAGACATGGGTGAATGGGAGGCACCTTTTGCCATTCTGCCTCTAGCAGTCAAATGTCTTCAGCTGGTCAAGAATGCTCTCTTTTTGCCTGCCTAACTCATATTCATTGTTAAGTAGGAACAAATGGAGGGTGCCTGGCAAAGTACAGGTGCTGCTTCACTTTATATTGTTGTTATGTTGCCTCTTACGTTGCTATGCTGTCATGTTGCCTCTGAGTTACAGTGACTGTAGGAATGAGCGAACTCCAAAATGCCCTGTCCTCAACCACCCTGTTTAGCTACTTCAGACCCAAAGCCTGTGGCTTCCTTTAGTGAGTCAATCCATCTTGTACTTAGTCTGACATTTTTCCTGCTGTCTTACACTTTTCCCAGTGCGATTATCTTTTCCAGAGAATCCTGCCTTCTCATGATGTGTCCAAAGTAGGACTGCGTCAGTTTAAAAATATGTTGCCTCCAGAGATAGTTCGGGCTTGATTTGATCTAGGAGCCACTTGCTTATCTTTCTGGCAATCCAAGGTATCTGCAGATTTTTCTTCCAGCACCATATTTCAAATGAAGCAATTAGTTTTCTGTCAGCTTTCCTAAATGGCCAGCTTTCACATTTCTGCATGATGATCAGAAATACAAGAGTGTGGAGTGATACATCTTTGTAGGTGATGATCTTTTCTTATTCCTTTGTTGCTGCCCTTCTAATTCTCTGTCTTCTGATTTCTCGACTGCAGTTTCTATTTGGATTGATGATGGATCCAAGGTTTACAGTATCTTTATTTCAATTTCTTCATTGTCAATGCTAAGGTTGTGTAGTTCTTCCGTAGTTATGATTTTTGAATTCTTAATATTCAACTATAGTTCTGCTTTTGCACTTTCTTCTTTCACTTTCACTAAAAGTCATTTCAAGTAATTGCTGCTTTCTACTAGTAAGATGATGTCATGATATATTATAAGTGTGAAAAATATGTGAATATACTTAAAAGATACTTCTAAAAATGAGTTCCAGCCTGAGATTTCCACATTTTATTTATCACATTTTGTTCACCTAGAATTGCAGGTAAATATGTACACTGGCTATTTAGTAATATTTTAAACTGTGCATGGAGGTAGGAGTGCAGGATAGTTCTCAATTGAAATGAGTTTCTTTGTGGGAGGACAGGTGTGAATCAAAGTAATAATAACAAAAATAGTAGTGATAATAACAACAATGGTATTGAATTTAACCACCAATGTATGCTATGGGTTATCAACAATGGTTAATAATTAATTTAATCAGGAGTTCTCAGGAAACCTCTAAATGGAAAATTTAATGAACAGAATGTCTCATCTTAGCTGTTTTAATGATACATGGGTGGGTCACAAGCTAACTGTACTTCAGAGGAACCGCTATGCCTTGGGCAATTGGTTAGATGCTGACTTAATATTTCTTGAGTGTGGGGAAGAAAGAATGTGGCACAGCCTTCTATTACCATTTGCTTAAACCCATGCTTCAGGTTTTCCCTGACTCCACCCCAGTCTGAGATTTCCCAGTGACTCATGGCTTAGTAGTTGTGATTTTCTGGGGTATTGCTTCATCAGGAATAAATATTGACATTTGCCTTCTAGGTCTCCTACTGACTATCATTGTTCCCACGACAGTCTGCATCATGCTGTCACTTGCTTGTCAGGGAGAGATGGAATAAGGGCAATAACTAAGGGCCTCCTTTCTCTGTATTATTAGATTTCTTAATGTTCACATACTCTGTTTTCTTCTGTTGCCTTCTGACATGCGTCACACTTCACCTGTTGTGGAAACTGTTTAGATCTCTCTTTTGAAGAGCTGCTTCAAACATTGCTAGTTGCTTGCTACTCTCTTTGTATGGAGGCCTGCAATCCAGTGATGTTCACAGGAGGAGCTGTTTATCAATTGGAAAAGGAAGCACCATGTCTTGTGGTCATGCAAAACCATTGAAGTGCATTGGCTCAGTGGGGCCAGGAAACAATCGCAACACACTGAGTGATCTTCTAAAATTTGTTCAGAGATTAACAGACATACACAGAAGCAGGCAGTGAAGATTAAAGAAGCCTTACAAAAAGGAAAAAGGGGGTGAGGCGAGAGAGAGTGAGTAAAACGCTGCCGAACATGTGTTACAAATCCTTATATTATATCATGATCATCCACAACCATATCAGAAAGGGTCTCCGCTGATCAGGGGATAGATTGACTACAGGGTGCAGATATGAAACAGGACAAGAGTGTGGGTGTTCTGATTAGGGTTTATCCAACAACTTTACAGATCAGTTTGCATGCATAATTAGGCTGTCCCTTGCTGATTACATCTGTCAGATGTTTCCAACTGCCTTATCTAATGGAAAGGGGATATCAACTCTTGCAGGGGTCTTGTGTTCTGCCTGTTAGTAAACCCAGAAACTACATTATGTGAATAATCATGATCAAGCTAAAAAAACAAGGGGATCTAGAACAAAAGTATTATTGGGGGGGACCTTATAGAGGGCACCATAGAAAGTAGCATTATTACACCGTGTGAAAATTTATCATAATAGAAGGAAGGCTTCCAGCACTGTTTTCATCACATTAAGATGTCATGTGGGCCATGGATTCCATATGGAAACAGCTTCAAATGACCTTAGTTCTGGATACAGGCATGAGCTCTGTACTGTTGTATCACCTTGGTTAAGCAAGGAGTCACTGACATCCAAAACAGACACTGAAAGACAGAAATATTTTTCCTTGTTATAATACACAATTTAAGCACAATAATATCCTTTCTGTGCCTTGTTTGTATTTGATTTCCTACCCTGTTTCCCTGAAAATAAGACCTAACCTGAAAATAAGCCCTAGTATGATTTTTCAGGATGCTTGTAATATAAGCCCTACCCCAAAAAATAAGCCCCAGTTAAGTGAAACCCTGCCCTCCACCCTTGTGCAGCAACCAGAAGAAGATGCCAGGATTGTATTTGAATAAATGTAGATTGTTGTACATGGAAAAAATAAAACATCCCTTGAAAATAAGCCCTAATGCATTTTTCAAGCAAAAATTAATACAAAACCCAGTCTTATTTTCGGGGAAAGATGGTACAATATAATTGTTTGTTTTCAGGATTTTTTTGGAAAAAATTATGTGAGGCTATAAGAAATATGGTAATAGTGTTTTTTCATGAATATAGGCAATTTAAATCAAATCTTTCTAAGAAGTCATGAAGAATAGCCTGCAGCTATAGTCTTATGGTTCTAGCAGGGCCAAGGACCATTTCCCTCATTTGCTGGCTGCTCAGGGGCTACATTTCTAATAGGGAGGGACTAAAAGGGAGGATGTAGCCAAAAATAAAAAATGAATACGTATTTATTTATTTATTTATTTATGACAGTTACTAGAACAGTGGGATTTTGTTAGCGGAAAACAAAATAGGTTTAACTTTAAAAAAAGGCTAAATGCTAAAAGCCCCCACTCTTTAGTTCCCAATTTAAAAAGTGAAATAAAATGGTAGACATGCCCCCTAGTAATGCTGGGGAACCTTCAAAACATGGCAAAATTGCCCTCATGCTCCTTAAAGGGCACAAGGGGAGATTCTGAGCTAGAAAGTGTTTTGTTTTTTTCTCAAGAAATGCTTAATTTCGGAGGCAGTGCTCAGGCTTCTCAAAGCATGGCAAAGTTGTTTCCATGCCCTTGGGAGGGGGGGCTTTGTGAGCAGAAATTATTTTAGAAGATAAATATGGTAAGTGTGTGAAAATATCCCTGAGGCCTCTTTGCAGCCTGTGGGAGCCATGTTGCTCATCCCTGCAACAAACACTCAATTGGAGTAAATCCCATCGAACCTCCTGCTGGGTTATTCTGTTCTTGCTTCTGCAGACGCGCTCATCAAATGGAGCCAACCTCCTCTCTTCACTGTTGGAAAGTGGTACACCTGCGGTGGAGCTATTCCTGCTTGTGTATAAACCCTACTTGTGAGCACAAACTCCAGTGTGTAGAGCTTACACATGAGCAAGAATGTCTCCACATCAGACAAGATGCATTCTCTTTGCAACACAGGAGAGGGGCAAGGTGTTCCTCTGAGCATCATCATGAGTATATTCACACAAGTAAGACTCAAATGCTTTGTTTTTAAATAGACATGCACAGGATTAGATTTTAAATAGACATGCCGCCTAGAGTGGTCTAGTATGACCAGATAGGCGGGATAGAAATAAACTAAATAAATTAAATAAATAAATAAATTATGCTTTAGAGCCACAACGCAGTGCAGAATATGGATTAAAGTTATCTGTTCTGTTTCAGAACCACAACCATGGATGCTGTCCAGATTGCAAACACCGCTTTTGCAGTTGATTTATTCAGAAAACTAGCTGAAAAGGACAAAACTGCTAATATTATTTTTGCTCCGCTTTGCACTTCCACCTCTCTGGCTCTTGCATACAAAGCTGCCAAGGGTGATACGGCAACTCAGATGAAACAGGTGAGTACTTGCCATTAATTTGGATGTCAGATAATTAGATGTTAGCTCTCCATTCTATGCAGTAAAGTGCATGTTTTTTCCTCGGTAAACTGGTATTTTCTTGTTTACAGGTATGGCGTGACTCCTCTGTATTAACATGGATGCAGAGGGGCAGCTAGACTTCCTGCCTCCCTCATTCTTTGCTTATGTTGACCACAATGAATCTGAAGACGAGAGATTCATGCTCATCCGCACGCTCTCCATGTGAGCAAAAACCCTGGAATCCTCTATATCCAAGTCATTGAATCCATAAGCAAAGCAATGAAGGAGGAGGCAATCCATCTCTCTCTCTAGCTGTTCTGATGAGAGTGGGTAATCTAACGAGTTAACATTCATGGATATTGAAATATCTTCATATACCGTCATTAAGTGGAGATCACTGGAAGTAGTTCAACAACAAATTTCTTCCGCTGGATAGTTCAGTGGTTTAGGTATCCGGCTACGGAGCCAGAGGTTGGGAGTTCGATTCTCCAGTGTGCCTCCTTCAGTGGGTCTGGAGTCACTGACTCATACGGTCCCTTCCAGCTCTGCAGTTCTAAGATTATCATTATCACTGTCATTATCAAATTGGGAAATAAGTAAATGACACATTAAATTAGACAAAGCAGACCATTTAAGCCTGTACCAAATATGTTTGGATTGAAACAGAGGGTTTGGAGAACTCAAAATCTTTCCTAATTATTTCCCTAGAAATCCAGTGTATGAATATTGCTGTGAGGGAGCAAGGTGTAGACTGAAAATTCCTGTTGTCGTCTTCTCTATTTGCAAAATGCAGTTCACACCTCACAGGACGGTATTTTGGGGAGTAATCACTCATAGCCTTAGACGATTGCTGTCAATTTGCACACAAGCAATGAGAGGACCAAGTAACCCATGAATAGTTTTCAAGGAGTCATTCAGCATGATTTGAACAAAAATAACCTTATTTGTCACATACAGGCTTCATCTATTGGAAAGTATCTTCGGAGCTTTGTGCATTAGTTTAAACATAGGGGCTGAAATCATGTTGCTTAGGGTAGTAAGCTGAACCAACAGAAGTTACAGAAGAGTTGACTCATGAAATCCTCTGTGAGTCAATGGCCCTAGTCTAGTGTGATTTATTATGCTAAGCAACAAGATTTCAGCTACTATGTGGCACCTGCGCATTTTCTCCAATGAAATGAATTACAGGTGGTGTGTCTGTGCGTGTGACAGTAAGCAAAAGAGCGTGCACAGTTGTCAACAGGAAAATGGTATGGATGAACACTTGAGGTCAATGTCTTCTCCAAGTACAGGAGTTGATGGATTGTAACCCCGCCTCCACCCATAAGCAGCCATTCTACTTTTTAAGAGCCATAGTAGAGCCATCCACTCATGATGTTCCTGTCATTTTAGTCATCTTAACTCTGGAAGTAGATTCCAGATTCTAGGGCCTGATTCTTAAACTTTGTTTGAGTCATATAAGTCAGCTAAAGATTGCAGTCTTAATTTAAAAAGCAATACAGTAGTCCTCATGTGTTGTGATATCCGTAGCCTTTCACTGAGATGCTGATGAAATTCTCTCAATATATTGGATTAGATCCAAAGTTTCTGTGAGCAAAACTCTGCTTAAAGGACATTCCTAGCAAAGGAGCAGGTGGAGAGGTAATTTTCAATGGTTTGTCTTTAAATGTGTTCCTCCTTCTGTGTCCTGAAACTAGAGGGTTTGATTGACTTCTGGAAGAGTGCTGATGAGGCCCAGAGGGGGAAAGAAACAAGTAGCTGAAAAAGGGAGACTCTCCCTCTGTGCCTGCTTCAGTGTCATTACTTGGTGGATCTTCTGTGAATAGAAGAAGCCCACCCACATGCAGGAGGGCAAGTGTAGATGCAGGGCATGGCTACTTTTTAAATTCACTCTTACATACCCTTATTTACTGGGATAAGAATATGGGTTCTCTGATGGACCCTTAACCATAGTTAGATAGCAAGTAACTGAATGTACAAATAAATGAGGGATGTCAGGAGTGGGTTCCTCCAAGGGTCCACATTGGGGTAGGCAATTGTGTCGAGTCCAAGGGCTATTGTCCCACATACGCACCAGTCTTGCTGCGGGCCATGCCAGCTACTCCTGCGAAAAATAAAAGTGACATTCTGGTTTTCAGAAAAACTTGTTCATTTACCATGGAAAAAAAGTTGTGTTTGTGTGTGATTCCTCCCCCCCCCCCAACAATGCATGTTGCTCTCTTAGTATCTTGTTTTAGAGGAGATTTATGCCCTGGGTCATTTTTGGAAGCAATATTGAACACCCTCTGGTTTGGAAAATAAATGTGAATGATTGAACATGGAAAAGCCTCTACAATTATGCATGGTGGAAAGTGTGTAGAAAGTAGTATCTTACTGTCACAACGCTACAGTCCAGGCCTATCCAATGAAGCTGAATGGTAGGAAATTCAAGGAAAGGGTTTCTTTGTACATCACAATCAAACTTATGAAATTCAGTACGATTGATGAGATTATACCAACCAACTGGGATAGATTTAAAAGGGAATGAGACAAATTCATGGAGGATAAAGCTATCAGTGACTACTCTCATGACAATAACTATGTATTGCTTCCAGAGTCAGAAACAATATGCCACTGACCATTTTCTGTGGAGCATGAATGAGACGTACTCTTACCTTCATGGCCTGTTTATGGGCTTTCCAGAGACATCTGATAGGCCACTGTGGGAAAAGAATGCTGAATCAGATAGGACTTCAGTTGTGTTCTAACCTAGCACAAAGCTTAGCAATAACTAGTTATAAGTGACATCGTTAATTGTAACTAGTTACTTTTGGGGTAACTGGAGCGTAACCAAGTTATATTCTAAAAGTATCATAGTGGCCAGAATCGTATTCCATAAGGGAAATCACGTAACTCCCAGTGATGAATTGCTGCCCATTAAGGAAGTGCTTGTTGCATTTCTGGTCACATGCCCAGGAATACAACTAGCACCTCATTAGCAAGTGGGAATTTGCCACAAAGACTTTTGCAGTTTCCCTGATGCAAGTGTAAATCGGCATAGAATTTTGATCACAGACTAATTATGAAGTTACTTTTTGATGTTAAGACAAACATTTTTTTTTTACTTTTAGAGGGCATTTAAACACATAGCAGGAGTGTTATGTTCTTATTTGGCTTGATTATATTGGAAGATCAGTATGCCCAAATATCTGTATTAAGCTGAAATTTGTCTGACAACAGGGCCTTCATTTAGAAGATGTCAAAGATGTTCCTTTTGGATTCCAAACACTTACAAATGATACTTCCAAACTTAGTTCTTTTTATTCATTGAAAATGGTCAAGCGCCTTTATGTAGAGAAGTCTCTCAACCCTACTACGGTAAGCTACTGATAAATAATGGCTGTTTCTCTCTGGGACATCTAGTTAACATTTATGGTTTAAATCCGATCATTTATTTAAAATATTCATATTTTAATTGCTAGCACAATGAGCACTATTGCTATGTTAAGACTTTCATTATTTACTTGCACTGCATTCAAATCAATTTGGTACCTCATTAAAAAACAGAATGAAAATATATTTTTACACTTTTATTGCAAAAGTTGCTTTATATTTTGCTTACAATTATTTGACCCAAACTTCTACATGTTCTGAAAACAAAGTAACAAATGACTATTAACCATGTCATCCAGTGCCCATGATTTGTAGAAAATTTTAAAAAAAGCAATATATATGATTGAAATTTCACTCTTTTTTCCCCAAGTGGTGATCAGCATAGTTATTAAGCAAAAATTTGGCAGTTTCATATAGGAGAAATAAAGATAGCTCTGCTGGTTTATACCAGAACTATGAACATCAAACATTAACTAGTTATTACTGTTTCTTATATATCACTTTTTTAGGATTAATTAAAATGTTTGTGCCCATGCATTCAGTACAGGACATATGTCAATCCACTCTTCTCAGAAAGAAAAGATGCTGAAATTTCGCTTGTTGGCTTTTGGTTATAATAAATAATATATAACATAAAACTTAGCAGAGTTTAGATATAGCAGCTTCAAGTGTTTAGAGTAAAAAAATCACTATTGTATAGAGTAAGCACCTGATCACACCTAGCAAAAGAACCCAGTTATACTGAAATGGCTGTTTTTAAGATTGTTTCATGGATTTCTGAGCACACGGTGCATGGCCAAGATGGACTCATTTTCCTGGCCCATGGTTTACTTCTGGTTACTTTCCCCCTCTCCAGGAGGGTTGTTTTATTTTATACAAGTGATGAATTGCTTCATTTCTTATTCTTTCAGCATGTATGAATGTTGTCAATTTATTTCCTTTGCAAAGCAGTCGGGTTTCTGGGTGCTGTGGCCACTTCATGGCCATAGTGCTTTTATCCTTTTTTCAACAAATTGGCATTAGGATCTGCTGGCGGTACTGCCACGACAAAAGCTCAACATGGATACATTACTCAGAAGGAAACAACCATCCCCCATCTCTTGAAAGAGGGCTTCAGATTCCCTCCTTTCAATTGTAAAGAAGGGAGCATTGCTCCTTTTTTCAACAAATTGGCATTAAGATCTGCTGGCAGTACTGCCATGACAAAAGCTCAACATGAATACATTACTCAGAAGGAAACAACCTTCCTCTATCTCTTGAAAGAGGGCTTCAGATTCAGTCCTTTCAATTGTAAAGAAGGGAGCATTGCATTTATTTAACTCTGCTCTTTACAATACTTTTGCAAGGCTGGCACCTAAAGGTCTCCCCCCCCCCAATAATGACAATTATGGGATTTGTAGTCCAAAAAACCCGTCTGGCACCTAAAGGTCTCCCCCCAATAATGAAAATTATCGGATTTGTAGTCCAAAAAACCCAGAATGCACACCCCTAGTTGTCATGTGGGTTGTGTTTGCCTCATTAACTTTTACTGACAGGGGCTTCCATTCGGCCAGGAAAGGAGTAAATCTTTTCCTTCTTGTGCCTCCTCCAACACTGTTTCCCAGTCATCTAGAGCAGGTATTGGGGGGTGAGAGCAGATGAAAATTTTATTTTTCTCCTTTCTCCTGAGAGAAGCCTACAATTGTTCAAAGAGCCTTCTAAATGTGGAAGCTCACCAGCTGGCTACACCTCTGCAGTTTTTTCATTTCATGAGCATTTAATCCCAATTTGTTTGTATGCTTCCTGTCTCTGTCTCTCTCTGTAGGCAGACAGACAGTATCTGTCAGCTGAGTCTGCTTCATACGTGTGAGGACGTAGGCTCTATTTAGTTAAAATGTGTGCCATAATAAGTTTGTTAATCTTTGAGACGACACAAGGTTCATTGCTAGTTTTACTGTAATTTAATTCTTGATTATTCAGCATTTAGAACGGAAGTCCTTATTTCTATATCATCTTCTAGTTTGTATAATATAATGTCTAGATTACATATGCTAAATTGAAGAGTTAATCCCAATTAAAATAAATCTACTGAATAAGTGAAATTTATATTTTATTAAATTATTCATATTCAGTTAATGTATTTTATTAGATTATAACTTGGAATAAAAAAAGATTTACGGTTTTATCTATAATTTTGAAATGAATGCTAAATTACATTCCATGCGATCATGTTCCACACTGGGTTGAAAAGCAGCCAAATTTATATCAGTGTCCTTTTCATTTTAGTTCCCTTTGGATATGTATATTTTTACACAAGCCTTAGAAATGGCTTTTTAGAATGTTTGTTTAATGAGGGTTGAAAGTTCTTCTGCCCGAAATTAGAGTGTGACCTATTTGTTTTAGATTTATTCAAAATTTATCTTAATTTAATTTCAGACGAACATGAACACACTAAATGCAGATTTATACATGAAAATTCACTCTATCATAATCTGAGTGTAAGATATTAATCAAATTAGTATCTGATGACTGTTTAAGAGGATATAATCCTATATTAGATAAAATGTAGTGCAGCCCAGATTTACTGCCAATTGAGAGGAAATCTTATTAGCCCAACTAATTTGAGAGCTCTTCATTCTTTCTTGTCATTCTGTATGGGATGCAAAAGCTGTTTATGGCACTTTTACCCCTCCCTTCCCCCATTTACACATTATCATGAGTGCATTATGCCCATATACATATTGGGGCAGGGAGACCTACATGGTGAAATTATTGTTATTGACATGTAGCACTTCCATGCTGGTCAGCTCAAGTAAATTTCAAATTGCTTACCCATATTTTCTTTGGATCTACCTGCGCCTGGTGATGGCAGGAACAAAAAGCAGTCTGGATGGCTCTTTGCTTCTCTCTCTAGTTGCTTCTTTAGTGGTAAAAATGCTAGCCAAAGTCACCCGGAGAAGCCATATTATTGCTACCACCATTCACTTTTGTGCCAATCCTGAGCCCTTCATTTGCCCACTTCAGAACCTGTACACAACAGCAGTTACTTCAGTTTTGGGATGTGTATGAATGCTAATATTGCCCACAGTTTTCTCCATCTGTAAAATGGGCAAAACTTTTTCTAGACTGTCTTCTAAATATACAGTTCTGTAATAATGTACCATTCATTTGTGGCTTGTGCATGTGGCCACATGTAGTGTGTGTCTGGGGGGGTTCTGCATTAATTACGCCCTAGCTTTTTGGCTTGTGACACAGTGTGGTCTATTAGGCTGGTAAGATGATGTGTTGGCACCCTGAATGAGTGTACCATTTGGCAGCAGCAGATGTATTAGCACTTGGAATAGCTGTCAAGGACCAGAAACCTGTGGCTATCCACATGCCATCCTGCAATTCCCCTCATCTCTGATGGCTGATCTTGCTGACTAGGGCTGATGGGTGTTGGAGTCCCTAAGGGGTACAGTTGTCAACCCCTGCTACAGGAAACAGAACATTTATTATTACAGCCCCATCTTGTTATGAAATATCTTTCTGTTCACATCCTCTGTAGTGCAATCCTGGTAAAACTGGTTGACGTTACAGCCCCATCTTATCTTTCTGTTTCTTTCCAAATTCTTTCCAATTTTATCTTTCTGTTCACATCCTTTGTAGTGCAATCCTGGTAAAACTGGTTGACTTATTAGTCCAGCTTCTGCTACCTGCTGGGTACTCAAGAGCTGGGCTTTTATGTTCCTGACATGGCACACCATATGGCTGATGGAATGCATTTCTGTTGTAACAATGCATGCAGATATGCCAGACCATAAGATTTTGGAATAAACCCCACTACATTATGCCATCTCCTTTGTCTCACCCCCATATTTACAAATCAGAGGCCTTTTTTCAAAGTTGACAAGATGATCTGGAGATCTGCAGAGAGGGAGATAGGCATTCATTCCAGGCAATGGTTTCTCCCGCCTTTGGTTGTGACGGGGAAGAGTGACAGGAGAGGGAACTGACAGAGGCAAGCCTAGTTTGGATGGTTTGCCAGAGTTCCCCGCAGTTAAAAACCAGAGGGTTTCCCCCGTCCTAGTGGATTCACGCCTCTCTGTGTGTGTACATAGTTGGTCATAACTCTGCGGTTACTAGGTTTTGTGCTGGGATGGGTGGAGATCAGGTGGGTTATCTGGGGATCTGCTCCTTATTGCTGTGCCAATACTGGGCTGCTGCAGCCAACCCAAATGGTGGTCTTCTACACCCGCTATGTACTACTTATCTTCATCCAGTAAAACATTAATTTCATCACATTGTGTATGTTCATTTTAAGAGGGTGCTGGGATGATGTCCCAGTGGTCTCACCTCACTTTCCAATCATCCCCCTCCCATTTCCTCATAAGGTAAGAAATCCCACTGTGATATCCATGGGATGCTTTTTAAATAAAAGGTCCGCCATGGCTTGTAGCTATGGACAGTCTTTGCTTGGCAAGCCTCAGAATTAGTTTAGATATTGGTAGAGATCTTACGGAAACCAATTTTTTTTATTGTGACTGGAAAAAATTCAAAATAATGTGAATGGGAAATGATTATATGAATCTAGTTTCTTGAATAAAGTATTAATTCCATTGTGATCCGGCCAAATATTTTAAGGTTAGGAATTTAGAATCAGCATGATATATGAAAGCATAATCTGTCTCTTTGCTTTTTTCAGGAATTTCTTAGTTCTATCAAAAGACCCTTCCCCTCGGAATTTGAATTAGCAGACTTTAAAGAAAAAGAAGAAGACACAAGGCTGCAAATCAATAAATCTGTTTCTGATCTTACTGATGGCAAGTGCATACTCTATCCACTGATTTGTTTGATGTCCTTGAATGCTGATGTGAAGTCTTTGTGAATTGTGCCAGGCATTTCATTATGAAAAACGTGGGTAGAGGTTGTGATATGTTTCTTAACTGCTTAGTTAAAATGACACTGTCCTCTTTGTCTTGGATCATGATGGAAACTTCTTTTCCGTTCTGCTTGCCACCGTGATTTATCTTTCACTCCAAGAGACTGGAAATATGATAGGGTTGTTGGGGTGTTTTTTAAAAATATTTTTTACTGTATTTCCAAGAATCCCACTGCCCGCATGGCCAGAGGGTTTCAGTACAGACACTTGATCTGAAAGCAACAGTTGCCTTGATTTTTGCACAGTTGTTTGGTCTTCTGTGTTCTTTCTGTATTCCCTGTGGTAGGAATAGAGAAAGAACCTTGCACTATCATTTTTGAAGATTGACAGATGTGCTCTTAGAGACCATGTCAGTTTGCGAGTGTGTGTTTAAGGCCAAGTGAAAATGACTCCATTCATGCAATGCCAATGCTAAGAGTTATTTTATTTGAGTGTTATACAGTAGTTGTCTGAATCCATATAAGATTAATAATCTACTTGGAGAAGGAGACAAGCTTTAGATATTTGGTTCGCACAGTGTTCCTGCTCCAGATTGGACCATCTGGTCTGCATTTTGTGTCACAATAAAAGCTCTCATTGATGCCAGCGGAAGACAAAGCTGGCTAACTCCATGACATTCACGTTGACAATATGCTCCTCACCAATGGCTTTGCCACAAGAGCCCTTTGTGCTAATCTGTCTTCCATTTTAACATATGAATCTCCCTCAGATTTGGTTTTTTGGGCTGATGTTGTCCACATGAATTGGCAGGAAGACAGCACGGTGTCTAACAGGGCTCTGCTATGTTAGATTAGGTCACAGGATTCAAGTGTGCATGTGGGATTCTGTAAAATATGTTCTGTTGTACTTAGAGTAAGTGCCCTATGAAAGAATTTGGGCCAGACCATGGAAAAATAGAATTGACTAATTTGTCATAGGGACACTGCCTTGTGCAGGGCATGTGGGTGGCAAATAATGACCTTGCCCATCTGAAAACATCTAATGCTTCAAAATTTGGACTTTGGAAGTACCTGAATTGGCAGGATGTCAGGGGCATGTTTCAAATGCAGTATTCTTGTCAATGGGTCTGCAGGTAAAATGGAGAACATTTTGGTTGAGGAGAGTGTCAATGATCAGACGAAGATCCTTCTGGTAAATGCAGCCTATTTTGTAACAAACTGGATGAAGAAATTTTCTGAGGAGCAAACTAAGGAATGTCCTTTCAGAATAAACAAGGTATGAAAAAGATTATTTTCCACTCCCACTTCAGTGAAATGCATAGTAAAATGGCTCAGCAAACTGTGATTGTGTGCTGATTCCAGGCAGAAATGTGCTTCTGTTTTTACACAATCCCCTCAGCCATAAATAAGAAACCATTTCAAGCAGTGATCAGAGCGGTAGTGGAGCCATGTTTCACAGAGTCAACACCTTGAGACCTGTTCTTCTTGAATTAAAGAAATTATACTGTCTTATGCTAACCCCCCTCAGTTAATTCCTGTGAGCTACCTGTGTTGTAATTTGGGCTGGCTTGGTCTTGAATGATAATGAAGACTGATTATTTTTTTAGTCAAGACTTGTTCCCTGAAGGCAGGGAAAGTGCTAGAACTGGCTGTGTTGCTGCTGCCATGGATCAACACAATTGCTTGCATTTTTAAGCTCTCTTTGGGGTGTATGCCTTGTGCACTGTTATGAGTACATGTGCTTCAAAATTCAAGACACCACGGATTGTGATACAAGCTGTCTATTTGTGACTGCCGAGTAGCAAGTACAGGTCCTTTGCTCACAAAGCAACACATTTCTTGGGACATGGATTTTAATTCAAGCAAAGCCAGTGAAAGGACCATGTCTTTTTAATCCCTGATACAGTATTTAATAAAATAAAATATAGGATGTTTTAATTTTACAGAAGCACAAAATTAGATCCCAAGCGTATGGTTTTGGTGCTCTTGTAATCTGCACAGTTGGAAACCACTACCACTAATGCTAGCCACTTGCCATGTGCAGGTTTTTGCTACAACTGCCCCTCACGCTGAGACAAAAATAACTCCCCTCAATATTTATTCCTTTATGGCTTGGTGTACTATTGGTCCCAGTCAGTGTAAGATACTAATACAGAAAAAGTCCCATGTGTTTTTAAAAGTGAACGG